CTCCTCCGCCGCCCTCCGCCGAGGAAGAGATGGCAACTCCTTCGATCCTCGAGGGCAGGACCCATCCTGGAACGCCTCACATAAAGAGGAATGCCGAGCACAGAGCGAGAAGGCTTTTCATGCCACGGCGAACCTCGGCCCAGAGTCGGCTGCCCGACCTGGAGCTGAGGAGCGGCTCTGTCGAGAGGAGGCCCCGATGGACCCGAGGTGGTCCGCATTTCAGCGCCCTGGCTGCACGGACGGCCGACCGAGAATCGCAGAATCGGCCCTGAGATTCTTGTCGCCATGAGAGCTCCTTGTTTCTTCGCGGCCATACCGGGCGCTATTGGGGGGGGTCGGGAGGGGGCATGACTAGAGCGGCGCCCCCCGCCTCCAGACTGTGTTGCCGGACGCACCGCGGCAGTGCCACCGGGTGCGCACTGAGGGGGGGAGCGCTACGTTCTGAGGAGGGGGAGGGGGGGGAGGGGAGGGGCTATGGCGCGCGCCATGGCCAAGAGGGTAACAAAAACACTGTTCAGTTGGCTCGCCACCAGGCGCTCTCGCCTGGACTCAATCCCCGAGGCCCTCGCAGACCGCACGCCGTGGGCCCAACAAAAACACGGTGGAGCTTGGAAAGCCTCGGCCTCAGGGGTAGCCCTTCTCCGGTCGGGACCTATTGGACATAATGTGTCGACCCCGGCGGCCCCGGCGACACGCTGTGCCCTCGAGAGGGGGTGGCGTGTCGCTCCGCTTCGCAGGGCGGGAGGATCGGAAAGGCTCGGGACGTTGAGGCCTCGGGACTGGGGAGTGGATAGCGTGTGGCGCAGAAGCGTGGGCCAGAACTGACGGAGCGACACGCTATCCTAAAGTTCCCGACCGTGAAACACGGCCCCGGAACCGAAGGACAAACCGGCCCCCAAAACGGGTCGGGGGTCGGCGTTTTGAACATACCGCGACTTCGGAGGCGGGTTCCACCAGGAGTCGCAAGCGGTGGGTTGCGCGAGGCGAGCGACAAACACAGAAACACACGCGCACACACATACACACAAACACAAGCACGATCACATACATATACATCTCTCTCCATATATATATATATACACATGCATGCATGCATGCATGTATGCATACATGCATGCATGCATACATACATACAACCATACAACAATGCATGCATGCATGCATACATACATACATACATACATACATACAACCATACACACATACGTACACACATACACACGTTCACACATACATACATATATACATCCATACATACATACACACATACATACATAAATACATGCATGCATGCATGCATACATATATACATACATGCATACATACATACATACATGCATACATACATACATGCATACATACATATATAATACATACATATGTAATACATACATACATACATACATACATACATACATACATACATACACACATGCACACATACACAGACATACACACATACATACATACATACAGACATACATGCATATATGCATGCATACATACATACATACATACAAACATACATACATACATACCTACATATACACACATACATACATACATACATACACACACGTACAGACATACATACATACATACAAACAAACATACATACACATACATACATACATACATACATACATACATACACACGTACACACATACATACACACATACACACACATACAAACCTACATATATATATAGATAGATATACATACATGCATGCATGCATGCATACACACAAATGTATATATACACAATCATACATGTGCATGTATACTTATAGGTATACATACACCCGGTTCTGTATGCAGGGGCGTCGCTGTCAAGCGCGCAGCGGCGCGGCGGAGGAAAATTTGGGCGAAGAGACGCGCGCGGCCGGCCCACACACACAAACACGCACGCCCCCCTCCCCTGATCATTGGCCACCAGAAATTTATGGTCGCGACCCGCGAGATCGGTCGCGACAAATCTTGCTTCAAATTCCGGTACCGATCCCGACCAATTTGCTTCGAAATCGGTTGCGACCGATCGGTCGCGACTGCTCGGGACCGATTTTATGCGCTCCGTCGCGACCCACCTTCAGTGCCGATCGGTCCTTACCGATCGGGATCGACCAGGTCCGCCTCCTCCTCCTCCTCCTCCTCCTCCTCCTCGTCCTCCTCGTCGTCCTCGTCGTCCTCGTCGTCCTCGTCGTCGTCCTCCCCTCCTCCTCCTCCTCCTCCTCCTCTCCTCCTCCTCCTCCTCCTCCTCCTCCTCCTCCTCCTCCTCCTCCTCCTCATCCCCTTCCCCCTCCCCCCCCTCCGTATACCCCGTGCTGTGGGCCTCTTGGATGCCCCCGACCCCTCCTCCAGAGCCGCCAGCCCCGCGGAGGCCTCCCCTGGCGCCGTGCACCCTCGCCGCCCCGGCGGGGCCCGTCCTCGTCGCCGCCGCCGCGCCGCCGGCGCCGCCACCGTCGGCGTCGTCGCCGTCGGCGTGGCCAGGCCTCCGCGCCCCCCAGCGTCATGATTTTGTCATGGCGGCGACCCCCCTCGGTGGTAACTCACGCGAGCCTCCCGTACCATCTTGTCGGCTCTTGCGAGTCGACGCGACTCGACGCCAGTCGACGCGAATCGACGCCAAATCGACGCGCGTCGACGCTAACCGACGCTACATCGGCACTGTCTCATCGATTTACCAGACGGCAATCGAAGCTAATGCACTCTAAAGAATATACGAGGGTACACAAGGCTCCCACGTTTTGCTACCAAAGACCCTCTGAGGTCTCGACGCGTTCCCCAGGACCGGTTTTTCCGGCCGAGTCGTTTTTGGACGGTCCCCCGAGGCTCGTGAGGGCCCCACGAGGCCGAAAATGGCGAAACACCTCCCGTCGCGATTCTTTTTAAAGACCCCGACAGGTCTCGACGCATTCCCAAGAACTGGATTTTCACCCAAAAAGTTTTTGGACGGTCCTGGACCCAGAGGGGGCCACAACGAGGCCGAAAATGCCAACAAACAACACCCGTCGCGATTTTTGTTCATGACGACGACCCCCCCACAAGCCTCGATGCATTCCCCATGGCCCATGACCGGTGTTTCTTCCTGAGTTGTTTTTTAACGGCCTCGGGGCCCAGTGGGGGCCCCCACGAGGCCGAAAATAGTAGCAACAACAACAGCAGCAGCAGCAGCAGCAGCAACACCACCACCACCACCACCACCACCACCACCACCACCACCACCACCACCAACAACAACAACAACAACAACAATCATTTTACCCGAACGCGTGGTGTTCTCCCCAGTGCCAGGGTTTTCATACGACACCAGGCAATACCCCCACTTCGTGGGGGGGCATTACAAGCTCTACCAAATATCCAAACGACTCTTCGCGACCACCCAAACCCAGCTTCCCGCCCTATGACGTTGGGACACTTCACTTCGTGGCGTGCGGACGACCGTGGCTACTACACTGGCGTGGGGTACACACCCACAGAACCCAATGGTTTTTGGAGATTTCGGCGTGCGCGCGCGAAGAAAAAACGAATGTGTCCCGCATGGTATTATTTGACAGGGATGATGGCCCTGGCAGGTGCGCAACCGTTGTCGCAGAAGTTCGAAAAAGTTGCTCGCAAAAGCCCGTTTGACAGAAATGTTTAAAAAGTGTTGGGTTTCCTACGAATCCGCAAGAGCGCGCGGGATGAGATTTTGACATTTTTTTGTTGAAAAACCATTGGTTTTTTGATGTTTTTATGTTAAAATCGCTCCGAACACTAAGCTTTTGGAAGGATTTCGTCTTGCGCGCGCGAATGTCCACTTTACCTTATTTTTTGCAAGGGATTCTTGAAATTTGATTATATTAGAACAAGAAATGTCATTTTATAGTGTTTTTTGCAAGGGAAAGCGGATTACAACAAAACAACCGGATCTTGATCACCTCGAATTACCTGAGGCTTCCTCACGAAAATGATGAAAACGTGGCTGCGGCCTAGGCGCGGCGGGGGGGGCGCGCACCAGGGGGCCCAACAATAATTATTCTTTAGAATTAATAATGTTCAACAACAACAACAGCAGCCTGCCGTGGCGATTTGTTCAGGACTCGAGGAGGTCTGGGGAGGATGCCAGGGTCTCCTTGGTCCCCTTCTGGGGCCTCCAGAGGCCGACCAGCAGCGAGGAGCCTCCCGTGGCGATTTGCTTGTTGTTCCTGCCTCGCGGGGGGGGCGTCTGGGCGCTCCGCGGCCCCAGGCCGCGGAGCGCCCCGGGCCTCGCGCGACCCCTGCCTCGAGGGGGCAGACTGAAGGACCACATCTCAGAAATCATGTCGAGCACCCAGAAAAGTGTCGAAATAGTGTCGGGCGAGTATCGCCCCCCAGGGCCCCATACGTGGAGCCCCTCGAATTTCGTTACTTGTCGTGTGCTCGAAATTCTTTCGGGTGATCAAGGCTGCAGTATGTTGGGGCATCATAACTTTTGGGCGGTCCACAGGGGCCGAACCTAGAGCCCTGGAGGCCTAGCTCGAGGAAAAACGGCGCTGGGGACTCGACACAATATCTGATCTGTCTCTGGAGGTCCGCGTCCGCGGCATGCGCCGGGTGGCCAGGAGAGCCCAGAGGCGAATCGATGAGTCGGATCGGAATCGAAATGAATCGGATCCGCGGCAATCGGCAGGCTGTAGTGAGGCCTCCATCGCGACACCGGAATCCAAATCGGAATCCGAAGCCGAGTCTGACCACCCACCAAGCCACCCCAACCCAACCCGAAGTCGACGTTGGGCCTGCCAACTTCCAGTGGGATGACGGGCCGGAACATAGAGAAAATACAATGAAACCCGAAAACAACCAAACCAGGGGGCGGGGGTCTGGGACTTTCGGGTTGGATTGGGGTGTTTCGATAAGTAGTGAAGGTCGAGATCGATCGACATGGGACCGCATCGACCCGGAGGAGTCGAAAGATTAGCCCGGGGCTGCGGCCTCCTCGGGCGCGACCGCGGCGCTGAGGCCCGATGTGCGGCCCCCCGCCGGGCGCCCGGGGAGCCCCGCTGCAGGGCCCGCGGCAGGCCGATCGCGCCCGCCCGCCTCGGGGCCGCTTGCGCCCTGCCCCCCCCCTCGGGCCGAGAGCGCCGTGCGCGCGCGCACGTCGACGTCGCCGCCGCCGCCACCGCCGTCACCGTCGCCGTCGCCGTCGCCGTCACCGCCGCCGTCATCGTCGCCGTCGCCGTCGCCGTCGCCGTCGCCGTCGCCGTCGCCGTCGCCGTCGTCGTCGTCGTCGTCGTCGTCGTCGTCGTCGTCGTCGTCGTCGTCGTCGTCGTCGTCGTCGTCGTCGTCGTCGCAGTCGTCGTGAAGGTCGTGGTCGTCACATGCACACGATGAAGTGCAAGTCCTCTACACACGAGTGTTCTTCTGATTGAGCCTGCAAAAAAAAAACGGCACCGCAAAAGTTCGGAGATTCCGCGAGGGGGGGATTCCGACGGCAGGTCTGGCCTCAAAGCTGCCTCTTGGATGCATGAAGCCACCGCCCGACCCCTGCGCACGAGAACCAGCGAGCACTGTAAGCCCCTGGCCCTGGCCTCCGAGTCGGACGGGGGCCCCCCCCAGCATTCGACACGAAAAATAAAAGAGGAGGAGGAGGAGGAGGAGGAGGAGGAGGAGGAGGAGGAGGAGGAGGAGGAGGAGAATGAGGAGGAGGAGGAGGAGGAGGAGGAAGAGGAGGAGGAGGGGAGGCCAAGAAACAATGGAGAAAGCTACGAGCAGACAAAACCATGCAGGAGGCGAGGGCAAGGAAGCAGCAAGCAAGCAAGCACGCAGGCAGGCCGACGCGGGAGGGGCGGGGAGCGGGGGGCGGCGTCGGCGGCGGTCGGGGTCGTCGTCGGCGTGAATAGTCGTCGGAGGCGGTGAGCTTGTCGTCGTCGTCGTCGGCCAAGCGCGGAGGCTCGGGGCGGGGGCGGTGCGTCGCTGGCGGCCAGGCGTGGGCTAGGGCGGCAAGGGCGGCGGGGTGGCCAGCATCGGCCAGGGGCGGAAGGCGGAAAGCAGGGGCGGCAATCGCCGGCTGGCGGCCTACGCGGCGTCTGCCGCCCGCGCCGCCGTCGCCGCGGCCAGCCGGGCTGCCGGCGCCCTGTCCGGGGCCTGCAGCCGGCGGAGCACGGGCCGCGCATTCTCCTTGTGCAGGAGCAGCGAGAGTCGCTGGGCGTGCTCCGCCGCCGCGAGGGCGGGGCCCTCACCTGTGGCGTCAGCCACGCGCTTCGCCATGACGGCGAGCGCGCGGCGCGCCTCCTTGCCCCTGGCGCCGCCGTGCGCCTCCATCACCATGGGGGTGAGATGAAGGTGACGCCGGACGCGTTGCAGCTGCGCGCCGTGTCGAGGAACTGGCGCTTCTGTTCCTCGTAGCGCTCGGCGGCGGCGCCCGGCGCAGCTGCCGAGGCTGCAAGGAGGTCGCCCCGCAGCCCAGAGGTGACCGCGAAGCCAAGCGCAGCTGAGACTCCGTTGCGCCAGCGGGGGATGCACACATCCGCTGGGCGCCGGCTTCTCTCGTCAAGCTCGCCGCCGCTGGCCTCAGCCCCTGGCGGGCCCTCCCCATCGCTCGCGGGGCTGCAGCAAGCCCGGCCGCTCGAGCTCGGCGCCAGGGAAGCCGGCTGCCTGCGCGGCGAAGAAGGCTTCGTCTCGGAGCGCGTTGTGCCGCTTGACTCGGTCCCCGCGGCAGGGGCACACCAACGCGTGGTCCCCGTAGACGTCCATGACGCCGTCGCAGGCCGGGCAAAAGGCCTCCTCGCTCGCAAGCTGCACCCGCAAGCGCCTCTACAGAGTGATCTGCATCAAGCCGTGCGGGAATGCCGTGCCGACCTCGGCGCAGGGCCGCGCCTGTAGCCAGCCGCAAGCGCGCTCCGCGCTCACCAGCGGTGGGCCCTGGTGGCCAGGATGGCGCGCTCCCAGAGCTCGGCCTTGGCGGCTTCGTCCAGTTTGTCAGAGAGGCTCCGCTGGTCGCTAGTGATCAGCCAGCGCTGCTGTCTGGCGTCGAAGTCCATCCTGTCCGCCTGCGTGAGCTGGGCGTTGAAGGAAGTCGCGGCCCCGCCCAGAAAGCCGTCGGCGCCTGTGTCGTCGTCGGAGTACCGCGCCCAGAGCTGCTGGCAAATCGCACAGCAGGCCGCGCGGGAAGCCAGGTAGGCGGCTGGCGCGTGCCGTTCCGCCGAGCGCAGCCCCAGGCCGCCTGCTTTGAGGGCGAGCTGCGCCTGCGCCCAGGAGTCGTCCACGGGGGCGCTGCTCGTCAGTTGCTCGAGGCTGGCGCGCACTGCGCTGTCGAGTGCAACCAGCGCATCCGTGTGCACGGTGGGAGGGACCACCCGCGCCGAGTAGCTGAGCCTGCAGAAACCAGCACATTGCCGCAACAGGTGGAGCGCAAACTGAGCGTTCTCGAGTCCCCCGAGTGCTTCAAGGAGCTCGTGATCTGGATCGTGGTCGTGGTCGTGGTCATGATCGCGGTCGTGGTCATGGTCGTCGTCGTGGTCGTGATCGTCGTCGCCGTCGTCGTCGTCGTCGCCGTCGTCGTCGTCTTCGTCGTCGTGGTCGTGGTCGTGATCGTCGTCGTCGTCGTCGTCGACCTCCTCGTCGTCCTCGTTGTCGACGTCGTCGTCCACGTCTAGGTCGTGGTCGTGGTCGTGGCTGTGGTCGTGGGCGTGGGATTGGTCGTGGTTGTGTTCGTAGTCGTAGTCGACGTCGTCGTCGTCGAGGTTGTGGTCGTGGTCGTAATCGTGGTCGTGGTCGTCGTCGTCGTCCTCGTCCTCGTCGTCGTCGTCCACGTCGTCGTCGTCGTCGTGGTCGCGGTCGTGAACGCCGTCGTCATCGTCGTCGTCGTCTAGGTCGTGCCGTGGTCGTTGTTGTGGTTGTGGTCGTGGTATTGGTCGTGGTTGTGTTCGTAGTCGTAGTCGACGTCATGGTCGAGGTTGTGGTACTGGTCGTGGTTGTCGTGGTCATGGTCATGGTCGAGGTGTTCGTGGTCGTGGTATTGGTCGAGGTTGTGGTCGTGGTCGTGGTACTGGTCGTGGTTGTCGTCGTCGTCGTCGTGGTCCTCCTCGTTGTCGTCGTCGTCGCCATCGTCGTCCTCGTCATCGTCGACGTCATCGTCGTCGTCAAGGTCGTCGTCGTCGTCGTGGTTGTGGTCGTGGTTTTGATCATCATCGTCGTCATCCTCGCTGTTGTCGTCCTCGTCGTCGAAGACCGTGGTCGTCGTCGTCGTCGTCGTCGTCGTCGTCGTCGTCGTCGTCGTCAAGGGCGTTGTCTCGGTCGTGGTCGTGGTCGTGGTCATTGCCGTCGTCGTGGAAGTGATCGTCATGGACGTCGTCGTCGTGGTTGTCATCGTCGTCGACCTTGTCGTCGTTGGTTGTGGTCGTGGTCGTGGTCGCTGTCTTTGTCGTCGTCGTCGTCGCCGTCCTCGTCGTCCTCGTCGTCCTCGTCGTCGTCGTCAAGGTCGTCGTCGCGGACGTGGTCGTGGTCGTGGTTGTGGTCGTAGTCGACGTCCTCGTCGTCGTCGAGGTTTAGGTCGTGGTCGTGGTCGTGGTCGCTGTCGTCGTCGTCGTCGTGGTCCTCCTCGTTGTCGTCTTCGTCGTCCTCGTCGTCCTCGTCGTGGTCGTCGTCGTCGCCAAGGTCGTCGTCGTGGTCGTGGTGGTGGTCGTGGTTGTGGTCGTCGTCGTCATCGTCCTCGACGTCGTCGTTGTTGTCGTCGGCGTCGTCGTCAAAGGCCGTTGCCGTCGTGGTCGTCGTCGTGGTCGTGGTCGTGGTGGTCATCGTCGACGTCGTCCTCGTCGTCGTCGTCCTCGTCGTCGTCCTCGTCGTTGTCGTGGTCGTGGTCGTCGTCGTGGTCGTGGTCGTGGTCGTGGTCGTGGTCGTCGTCGTCGTCCTCGTCGTCGTCCTCGTCGTCGGCGTCGTCATGACCGTGGTCGTGGTCGTCGTCGTCGTCGTGGTCCTCCTCGTGTTCGTCGTCGTACTCGTCGTCGTGGTCTTGGTCGTCGTCGTCGTCAAGGTCGTCGTCGTTGCCGTGGTCGTGGTCGTCGTCGTGGTCGTCGTCGTCCTCGTCGTCGTCGTCGTCCACGTCGTCGTCGTCGTCGTCCTCGTCGTCGTCGTCGTCGTCGTCGCCGCCGCCGTCGTCGTCGTCAAGGGCGTGGTCGTGATCGTGGTCGTGGTTGTGGTCGTCGTCGTCGTCAGCGTCGTCGTCGGCATTCTCGTCGTCGTCGTCGTCGTCGGCGTGAAGGTCGCGGTCGTGGTCGTGGTCGCGGTCGTGGTGCCGGGGCCATCTCGTCGGCACGGCCGGAGCCCCCCCTTTGGAAGTCGTGGGCAGGGCGTCCCAAGGATCTCCTGGTGTCGCTGCGGGGCCGCCGCGTCGTCGTCAACGTCGTCGTCGTCGCCGCCGCCGCCGTCGTGGTCGACGTCGTCGCGGGGCCGCCACCTTCGTCATCGTCACCGTCGTCGTCAACGCACCCACCGCCGCTGCCGTCGCCGGGGAGGCTGGAGAAATCTCCAGATACCTCTGAGCGACGTCGGTCGTCGGTCGTGCTCTTGGTCTCTGGGGGTCTGACCTCGAGGCGTACGGTCGCCACGAATCGAACACTCGTATGCCCTATTCACGCCTATTGGAGGTTTCGCGCTGTGGGAGGTTACAGGTTTTCGGTCGCGGGAGACGTCTCATGATGGTGATGCTGGTGATCTAGAGATGCGAATGACGATAACGATAACCAAAATCCGCCGACCCTGTCGGCGTGTGCGAGGGGCTTCTCCGTTCGAGTTGTCGTCTCCGTCGTCTTCTCGTCGTCTTCGTCGTCGTCACAGTCGTCTCCTCGCAGTATCCGTCGTCCCCCGTCCCTTTCCCTGGGCCCTCCTCAAGCGTGCCATCCAAAGGGAAGGGAAGGCCCTTTTCTATGATCCCTTCCCCGCGGGTGGGAAGGGGGGGTCCCGGGTGGGGGTCTGGGGGGGGTCCCGGGGGGGTCGACCCCGACATATCGAACAGCTCCAAAAAGAACCCAAAATGCCGAAGATGGCCCCCAAGATTGCCCACACGAGCCCCGTGTCGCTCGAAGATCGGCCCAGCACGGCAAAGATGGCCCCAAGACGATTCAAGAAAGACGATTCTAAGAAGTCCCAGGACCTCTCCTCCTCCACCAAGGCTCTCCTCCCTCCTCCTACCCTCCTCCTCCTCCTCCTCCTCCTCCTCCTCCTCCTCCTCCTCCTCCTCCTCCTCCTCCTCCTCCTCCTCCTCCTCCTCCTCCTCCTCCTCCTCCTCCTCCTCCTCCTCCCTCCTCCTCCTCCCTCCTCCTCCTCCTCCTCCTCCTCCTCCTCCTCCTCCTCTCCTCCTCCTCCTCCTCCTCCTCCTCCTCCTCCTCCTCCTCCTCCTCCTCCTCCTCCTCCTCCTCCTCCTCCTCTCCCCCCCCCTCCTCATCCCTCATCCACCTCCTGCACCCCTTCCTCCTCCTCCTGCCACTCCTCCTCCTCCCCCTGCAACCCCCTCCTTTTCATCTTCGTCGTCTCGAGGGTCGCGGGCACCGGCCGTAAGGCCTTCGCAATAATAACGATGATGCTGATGATGATTATGATGTTGGTGATGATTACGATGACGATGATGCTGATGATGACGAGGATGACGATGATGGTGGTGATGGTGATGGTGATGATGACGATGATGATGATGATGATGATGAAGATGCTGCTGCTGCTGCTGATGATGATGATGATGATGAGTACGACGATGATGCTGATGATGATGGCGATGATGATGATGACGATGATGATGAAGATGATGTCCCGGCACTGCGTTTCGGAGGGACCCCCGTTCGTGACAGAGGGCCACCCGTTCGCGCAGACAGGCTCCCGTTCGTGCCAGAGGGCCCCCCTCGTCCGTGCCAAGATCCTGCTCCTGCCTCCTCGGCCGCATCCTACGTGCTCGTTGCGCATCCTGCCTTTGCCTTCTGCACCTGAATCGTCATGTTCACCCTCCATGTGACCATCATCATCAGCATCATGCAGAAGATGGTGATAATGCTGGTGCATCATTATAATCATCATCATCATCATCATCATCATCATCATCATCATCATCATCATCATCATCATCATCATCAACATCTTCCTCCACCTGCTGACGGCGGGTGCGGGAAGTTCGCTCCTTTTGCCGAAAGGAGGGATCATACATACTTATTTGGATGATCGTACCTACCCTCGTGGTTATCATCATCATCATCATCACCACCATCACCATCACCATCACCATCACCATCACCATCATCATCATCATCATCATCATCATCATCATCATCATCATCATCATCATCGTCACCATCATCATCCGCATATTCATCATCATCATCATCATCATCATCATCATCATCATCATCGTCATCGTCATCAGCATCGTCAGCATCGTCATCAGCATCGTCATCATCATCAGCATCACCATCGTCGTCATCATCATCACCATCACCATCATCATCACCATCGCCATCCTCATCATCATCATCATCATCATCATCATCATCATCATCCTCATCATCTTCACCACCATCAGCACACTGAATTACCATCCACACCACCATCATGACCATCAACATCATCATCACCAGCAGCACAAGTATCATCACTATTCGCATCTCTATCACCAGCATCGACACTATCAGAGGTCTCCCGCGACCAAGGATCTGACACCTCCCACAATGCGAAACCTCCAATCGGCTCGCACAGGGCATGTGTGCCGAACGCGCCCAAACATCTCAATCCTCGAACCTTGATGAACCTTGATCCTCGAACCTTCTCCTCCTGCTCCTCCCCCGCCTGGCCCTGGGCCACTTCCCTGGGGCCGCTGCTCCGTCCCGAGTCGCTCTTCGACGCCCCCGACGCGCGGCGAGGGCCCCCCCGGAGGCCGAGAACGGCCAAGAAACCGCCGCTCCCGTGTTTTCGGAGCGGACGCCTCCCCCGGCGTAATCGGCGGGGGGCGGCTCGAGCTGCCGACGGCGAAGGATCCGCCGCCCCCCCTGGCCCGGGCGGGCCCCCCTGCTGCCCGCCCGCGGGCTCCGCCGCCGCTCGCCGCGGCCTCCGCCAGCAGCTGCGCCGCGCGCCGCCACAGCGAGGTGCCCTCCTGCAGTGGGAGCCCCAAGGAGACCCTGGCAGCCTCCCCAGACCCCCTCGAGTCATGAGATGGTACGGCGGGAGGCTTCTCGCGGTTTGTCGGTTTCTGGGGGCCCCTACCAATCCCTGGGACCGTCGAAAAACAACTCATGATGAAGAACCAGTCATGGGGAATGGGTCGAGACCTTTGGGGGGTCGACGTCATGGTAAAATCATGGCGTCGGGGATCTGGGTCTCGTGGCAAAACTGGGGCGCGGCGAGTTCTTCCCATTGTGCTGCCTCTGGGGGCCCTCGCCGGGCCCCCGGGCCGTCACGGAGGATGGCGCATTGTGAAAAGGACACCACGTCGGATGTTCGGGATCACCACCAGCGCGAGGAGCCAGGGGGGGGTCCTCCTGGTGGTGTGGTCCCCCCTCCCCGCAGGAGGCATCCCCATGTGCCCGGCCTGGGGAGGCATCCTGGGCCTCCTCGCTGGAGGTGACACCCCTGGCGGTGGTTGTCGCTTCTCTTCATTCCGACGAAGGCAGGACGAGAACAAGTCCGGAGGAGGGCGGGAAGCACCGAGGGAACCAGCGGGTCTGCAGGACGCGTCGAGCGCCCCGGCCGCCCCAAAGCGTCCCGGGACGCTCCGGGAGCATTCCGGAACTATCCGGAACGGCGTATCCTCATCCTCTATAGGCTTCTGTTGCTCCCATCGTACTTAGGGACCACATCCCAGAAGTAATTGCGCGCACCCGGAAAAGTGTCGAAGCAGTGTCGGACGAGTGTCTCCCAGGGCCCGACAGGTGAAGACCTTCGAGTTTTTGGGGAGCTTTTTTGGTGCTCGAAATTCTTTCTTGTGATCAAGGCTGAAATAGGGTTGGAGCATCATCACCCTAGGCCTCCCTGGCTCCTTCTGAATGTCGCGGATGCGCGATCTGAGCACCGCGTCCGTGCTGCGGGAACCCTTCAGCGGCCCGAGCGCGATCGTGGCACGCTGGAGGTGCGGCGGCAGCTGGAAGAAGCCTCTCTGGACTGCCACGCCTACGCCAGAGGCGTCCAGGAAGGCCTGCGCGTCCGGGACCTTCGTGTCCTCCATGGGCCGCGCGAGCGCCGTGTAGGGGTACACGGTCTGGTAGCACCAGTCGTCGGGCTCCAGGCTGTCCCTCTCGGCCTCCTCCAGCAGCTGCACCGCGCGCCGCCACTGCCCCTCCCGCCCGACGGTGCTCAGCACGCGGGAGAGCATCCTACTGTCGGGCCTCGGGCCAGCCTCCCGGAGCTCGTCCAGAAGCGCCAGCGCCTCGCGCCAGCGCCCGGCGGCGTGGCACGCGCCCAGTGCCTCCTGGTAGGTGGGGAGCTTCTGCGGGAACAGGGGCCGCTGCTCGCGCAGCAGCCCGAGCGCGTGCTCCCACTGCCCGCACTTGGCGCAGGCGGAAATGGCGGCGACGTACGTGGCCTGCGTCGGCCTGGCGCTCACGCCCAGCAGCTGCTCGGAGTCGGAGCAGATCCTGAAGATGTGCAGGGCCCGCTGCCAGGCCCCTGCCTGGGGAGGCAACAAGGTGTACCGGTGTCAGCTGCACGCAAGAGTGACTCCTGGGAAAGAGTGACCTCTGGCTCCCGGCTTGAGGTGGCCGCTCTACAGCAAACTCCAAGCAATCCAAGCGCGCCAGCCAATGCTGGTGGGACCACTGTGTGCCCGCACCCCGCACCTATGGTCACTCCGACAAGGGGCCCTCGTATATACGTGTGGCCGACGATACAGCTGCGTGCTCCCCTGTGTTCTCCTGGGGTGCGTTCTGACCAGGGTTACAAGAACAATCCAGCCGTGGCGACGAGGGCTCTCCAGGACGAGCAGCGGTATCGGTGTCCGTTCCCCCTCTGACTGCCTCCCTGCAGGCCACGATCACGGAGTGGAAGATGATGCTGTCGGGGTCCACGCTCGACTGCAACATCTGCTGCACAAGGTACAGAGAGAGCACCCACCTGCCGCCGGGGATGCAGGCGCCGAGGGCCGAGTTGTAGCTGACTGCATCCAACTGCATGCGGGAGAGCCTGGGCGGGGCTCGAAATATGCACCAGGTCAGATGGTCGGCCGGCGGGGCTCGCTGCGCAGGCGCCCTGCCTTCCAAGGCTGTGGGACGCAAGAGAGCGCCTGTACACCGAACTCTTGGCTCCTTGGCCGACGGCCGACCAAACGACGTGGTGTGTGTGTGTGTGTGTGTACATCGAGCCCCTCCGAAGGCCCTGACATCCGCCGATATGCTCTTCCTCTCAAGGGCCCCGGGACCGAGGCCTGCTTGCCCCGGGCCCCAAAACATCCCCCGAAGGGGCGACACCGACCAGAAGCACACACCCCGGACGAAAAACATACCGTCGGAGATCGGGGGAGCCGCAGGTCGCCCAGCAGCGCCACGGCCTCCTCCCAGGCGCGACCCCTGCCCAGCGCGCTGACCAGGCGGGTGCACGCCTGCTCGGGCACACGAAACGGTCACGGAGGAGATTGGCACAATGCCCGGCAGCAGACCTTGCCCCAAAGTGACAGCGGCCGTCGCTGTGCAAGCGACTCTTGCCTCAAATGGACAGCGTCCTCGGCGCCTGTTCAACTGTTAGTCGTCGTGCCAATCGTTCCCGTACACATCGCTTGGGAGAAGCAGGTTCAAACATGAAGTAGGAAGGCGGGTGAAGCAGATTGGGTCCAGGCCCTCACAGGGAATCACCAAACGCAGCAAAAGCAGATCGACGCTTGAAGTAAGCAGACACTTGAAGCAGATTGGGCTCTGGGAATTCAAAACCGCCTGCTTTCAGCGACCGACCTCTACCCATCCCGGTCCCCCCGAGCCTGGAGGTCCGGGCGCCACGGCTCCCCCTCGCGCAGCGCCGCCGCCGTGACATCCCGGGCAAGGTGCCTCAGATCCTGGGTGACCCTGCGGTTGCCCTGCTGCTGGGCCTCGCGCAGCTGCGCGCCGCGGTCCCTCTCGACCAGCACCCTGGCGCGGGCCGCCGCGGGAGGAGGGCCCGGACGACCCGAGGCCGCATCGGAGAAGCAGGTCGGCAGTCGGAATGCGTCGCATCGGCAGGGGTCGACACGCACATCGGAAAGCCTCGACATCGAAACCCGGCGGCCCGAACCGCGGCCCAACAAGGAGACCCAAACCGAGATCGAAACTCGGAGTCGAATCGAATCGAAACCGATACCTTCGAAATCGAATCGATCCGAATCGACAAGAGTCGAAGTGGACCCAAGGGGGGGTCGGCCTCCTGAGAAGGCGGGAGGGATTCCTTGAAAGGCAGCTGGCCTCTCGGAGGCCCTCCATGGCGCTTCCTGGGAGACGCCTTTCCTGGGACACCGGGGCGCCCCCTAAAGAGCCCCCTGCCTCGTGAGAAGCCCCTCGCCTGCTCCAAGGCTGCCCCCCATCCTGCCACCCGCACTGCTCGGGCACGTGCTGGCATGACTGCGGCCCTGCGGACATGGCGAGTGGGCGCCAGCTCTGGGCATCAGGGAACGCACCACCGAGAGACGAAGGCGGTGCCTCCTGCTATTCCCAAACGCCCTCCGCCCAGATGTTTGTCACAGCGTGGCTCCCGAGAGGTCTGGACCCCCTTCCCGGGGACTGGCTCCTCGTCCCGAGTCGTTTCCTGACGGTCCCGGGGCCCGGCGAGGGCCCCCAGAGGCCGAAAGTGGGCCAGCACCGCCCGTCGTGATTTTTTTGTCCGGTGGCTTTCGGGTCATATCTCGGTACTCTGGAGGCTGTTCTGAAAGATCTGGGCATCCCTGGGACGCTCTCAGCGAGCCGCAGCTGCTGGAGAGCATCCCGCAGATGGAAAATCGCCGAGAACCGACGAACACATTTGCAAGAGAACCTATCCCACCGTGTTTTGTTTTTCAGTGAGAGGAAGTCAGGACGTGAGGATTGATACGTGCATACGTTCCCACGAACTGACGCATCCCGCCGTTTGGTGTCTGTTCCGTGAGAGTCCACGTAGCCCCCGGCGCTGTACGATTTGGGTCTGATTTGAACCAGAATGGGAACAAAGTCGGGACCAGATTTGGACCAGATTCTCCCCTCCACGAGGGAGGCGAGAAGACCGAGGACGAGGGGCCCAAAGCGGTCCGAATGCGGTCCAAATGTAGGAAAGGCTGATTTCACCGTCGCCGCCCAAGGCTCCCATTAACCGACATCGGAGGTCCATCGTAACCATCGCCGAGGGGTGGGGGGGGGTGCAGCGCCGACGACCCCCAAAATGGGGATCCCGTCGACAGCAAACGCCACCTGCCAAGAGCGACCCCCCAAATGGTCCTGGCTTGGTGCACCAAAGAACAATGATGTGATCCACAGCGGGGGCAGGGGGGCGTTGCCCCCTGGTTCAACTACAGTCAAAAACCCTAATAAGGACGCGCGGTAAGGACGCAAGACCCTTGGAAGCCGAAGTTGGGATTTCTGGGGCGGCGGACGACGAAAACCTCAAGGACGCAAGAGCGAGGAAGAGCAAGGACGCAAGGGTACCTTGAGCAAAGTCGCGCGTCCTCATTCGGGTTTTTGACTGTACGACCTCCGACGCCATGCATCGTTCATGACGTCCACCACCAAGAGGTCTGGACCGGTCCCCCTGGACCGGCCTTTCACCCTGGGTCGCTCGTGGACGGCCCCGAGGGCCGGTGAGGGACCCCCGAGGCAGGAAACGGCGGAAGACCTCTCGCCGCCACAGGCTCTCGCCGCCCGAGGCTTTCCTGGAGCAGACGCCGAGCCCACCAGCCTGAGGCGCGCGTCCAGCTGCGGGTTGCCGACGGCCAGCTCGAGCCCGGCGCTCGGGGCCTGCGGCGGTCGGGGCGGGCCCGTCTGCGGCGGCTGGGCCGCAGCCGCGGCCCACGCGGGCCACATCTGGCGCGCGGGGCTCGGAGCAGGGGAACAGGCAACGACAGAAACATGACACCAGAAGAAAGCCCCGATCAATGGATGGCTTTCGCTGAGGGGATCGACCAGGCACCCGGGAGCCCGGGAACCCCCACCGAAATCGGCCCGGAACTGATACCCGGGAACCCGGGAACCCGGAACCTGGAACCCGGGAACCCAGCCTGCGACCAGAATCGGCGGGAAGCTTTCGCCAAATCTTTCAACTTCCGCAAGGACCTTCAGTGTAAGCACTGATTGGGGAATAAAGACTCGGTGCCAGAGAGGGGAAAGGGGGCGATCCGAAAAGTCCGCTTATGTCTGAGTCTGGGTCTTTATGCTTGTGGAAGTGCCTGTTCCCCTACACATGCCTCCAAGATGGGGTCTGAGTAAACCCCAGGCCAACTCAAGTCATGGCAAACAGCACGACGGCAAATTTGTTCGCTATGTTCGACCACCTGGGGCCCTTGCCGGGCCTCGGGGCCGTCAACAAGCGGCTCGGGATGAGAAACTACTCTTTGGAATGGGTCCAGACCTCTGGGGGTCGACGTCGTAAAAAATCACAACGTCGAAGATCTAAGATGGTGTCCGAGGATCGCGCCGCGTCGCCGATGCATCGCCGATGCATTGGCAATGCATCGACGACGTCGGCGATGTCGGCATGGAGAACATCAGGCTCCATATCGCGCCGCATCGCTGATGCATCGGTGATGCGGCGCCATTTTCCGACCCCATCTACTATTCGGATCCCACCTGGGAGGCCTGGAGGGTTGCGCGAGCAATTGCGCGCGCGCGGGGCGGGACCCAGATACCCGACGATACGACGTCTTCCAAGCCCGGAATTCCTCCTTGGTTCTGGCCCCCGGGGCCCCTTGTCGGCCATCAGAAACGGATCCGGGGCGGGAAGCTGGCCCAGGGGAGCGGGTCGGGACCTCCGGGGCCGCGGATTGGAAGAATCAGATCGGAGGATGTCTGGGGAGCTTGCAAGATCTATTTCAAACTGGATCAATTGAACACAACGTTGAAATCGTTCACGTTGTGGGAAATGGGAACGTCCAGATCCGCAGAATGGGAAGCTGGCGGTGACGTCTGCGGCAGGGCGCTGCGGTTGGCGCCTTCGCCTTGAGCCAAAATGACTAGGCTCCGGACAGAGGAGAAGAGGATAATCAGGGAGGAGCAGGGAGGGGACTGGATAGTATAAGACCGAAAGCGAAGCGATGTGACGCTACCAAAGCACACCAGCACGAGCATTCGGCTCGGCTCTGGTTAAGGCTGCGGAGACCGGTGTGGGAGTTCGTGGCCGGAGCTATTTTCTGAGGGGGGGTCCAGGGGTGTGCTCTGGGGGGTGGAGGCACTGCATTTAACAGTGCCATATTTTGATCACACAAGTCCCCACAAAGAACACCCCTGAGCCCAGGACCGCCCTGAATTTTTCCCCGCCCCCCTCACCCCCCAACAAAAGCAGTTCACAACCGTTTTTTGGAGGGACGGCGCTTCGACATCGGGCGGAAGGGAGGAAGGGAGGAGGGGGGGTCTGGCTCTGGCCCTCTGCTTCATGCGACTGTTTGCAGCAGTGCGTCCTATGGGGAGCCTCCACTCGAAACAGGCGCCAACGACAACCAAGATCTACTCCATGGTGCAGAGGGGGAAAAGCGACGGCTCGCGCCGATCGGCAAAACAATGGATAAGAAAATAATCACAGCCTAGTCACCGCTCATGGCCTGTTGTTTGAAGGTGGCGGGCGGGGTCCGGACCCCTATCGCGTAGTTTTGTTTGGTAGGGTTCCTGAACCTCCGCTTCGGATGTGTTTTCCCCCGCCATCCTATGGTGTCGGGTCCTCGTTTCGAAGAGACAGCAACCCGCGTCCTTCCTCACTCCTTCCTCCTCCTCCTCCTCCTCCTCCTCCTCCTCTTCCTCCTCCTCCTCCTCCTCCTCCTCCCTCCTCTCATCCCTGCCCCTGCCCTCCGCATGTGAACCAGTTCGGCACACCCCTCACACGTTCCGTGCCCCAATAGAGAGCTCCACCTAAGGTCCTAGTGGCGACGTTCGCACTCTGATCCCCCACCCTTTCCGGCATACCATTCATACACTTCGTGCCACAACAGGAAGCTCCACCAAAGACCCCAGTGGCGACGTTTGCATGCGTCTCCCCCTCACCCATTTCGGCACAACCCCCGCACGTTGCGTGGCCCCATGGGGAGCTCCACAGAACGAAAGCTTCAGTGGCGACGTTTGCATGCGGACCCAAGGCTCACTTCGGCACACCCCCCACACGTTTCGTGGCCCCAAAGAAAGCTCCACCGAAAGAGCCCCAATTGCACAGTTCGCATGCGCACCCCGAGCCACCATTACGGCACGCCCTGCGCCGTAGGGACCTCCACTCCACCGAAGACAATACTCCCAACCTCGGTACTCTGTTTTCGAAAATATGTGTTTTGGCATCCCGCCTCAAGCGTGTTGCGTCGATCTACCGGGTGCGTATACCCCTCGGCAAGCGCACCGACCTGCTCAAAAATAGCCCGCCGTGCCGTTCGCAACGTGGAGGCGCACAGCAAGGCCAGAGCGCTTCAGAAGCGGCGGAACACTGCCCATCTCCGCTCCTTTCCTCCCTCATATCCCGCCCCTCCCCCCCCCTCGCCTGTGCGGTGGTCCGTGTGTCGGACATCCGGACTCCGGACCAGCCGAGGCGCGCGCCGAGACGGCGAGGGCTCCAGCAGAGGATGGCGAGAACGAGGAGGAGAGAAGGAAGAGGAGACGGGTGGGAAGCTCGGGCCGGGCGAAAGGGGGGGATAGCAAAGGGGGGGGGTGAGAATCAGCTCACGTAACTGACTTTCCCGGCGCCTCCCGGCGCCGGAGGCGGCTATGTATCGAGGAATGGGCCCCTCGGTGAGGCCGAGACCAGCTGCATGCAGCAAATTTTGTACCCCCCCCTTTCCCAATCCCCCCTTTCGTCCGGCCCGAGAAGCGAGAGCCAGGGAGGCGGGGTACTTCCGAGAGTATAGGCAGCAGTCGGGCACGCTGCTTCTGACGTGCGGCAAAAAAAAAGTTACGTACGTAGGCCGGAGCTTCCAGAGTCTGGATCCAACCTCGGCACTCTGTTTTCGAAAATATGTGTTTTGGCATCCCGCCTCAAGCGTGTTGCGTCGATCTACCGGGTGCGTATACCCATGACCTCGGCAAGCGCACCGACCTGCTCAAAAATAGCCCGCCGTGCCGTTCGCAACGTGGAGGCGCACAGCAAGGCCAGAGCGCTTCAGACGCGGCGGAACACTGCCCATCTCCGCTCCCTTCCTCCCTCCTCTCCCGCCCCTCTCCCCCCCTCGCCTGTGCGGTGGTCCGTGTGTCGGACATCCGGACTCCAGACCAGCCGAGGCGCGCGCCGAGACGGCGAGGGCTCCAGCAGAGGATGGCGAGAACGAGGAGGAGAGAAGGAAGAGGAGACGGGTGGGAAGCTCGGGCCGGGCGAAAGGGGGGGATAGCAAAGGGGGGGGTTGAGAATCAGCTCACGTAACTGACTTTCCCGGCGCCTCCCAGCGCCGGAGGCGGCTATGTATCGAGGAATGGGCACCTCGGTGAGGCCGAAACCAGCTGCATGCAGCAAATTTTGTACCCCCCCCCTTTCCCAATCCCCCCTTTCGTCCGGCCCGGGAAGCGAGAGCCAGGGAGGCGGGGTACTTCCGAGAGTATAGGCAGCAGTCGGGCACGCTGCTTCTGACGTGCGGAAAAAAAAAGTTACGTACGTAGGCCGGACCTTCCAGAGTCTGGAGCTGCCTTTTCTGCAGCGGACTGGAGAGAGAGAAAGAGAGAGAGAGAAGATCAGTGAAAGGCCGCCCCCCTCCCCGCATCTTCCCCAGCGAGGCAGACAGACGAAGGCGCGCCAAGGCGCGAGCGACTCTGCCATTGGGAGGGGAAGGGGAGCCAGCAATAGGGAGGAGAGGCAGAGAAAACATCAAACACTCCGATAAAGGTATGATGTCGTGCAGCTCACGCGTCGCTGGGAGCTTGCCATGTTGGAGTCGCCTACCTGAAACAATACTGGAGTCGCATGTCTGCAACCCAATTTTGAAAGAAGGAGACACCGGACAATGCCCACAAATGACGCGGATTGCATGTAAACTCTGAAGAGAAGGGTGACCATTAAAAGGAGCGCAATATCAGCCTCCAGGGGCACGCAGCGTGAGAAATCCTTCGACGGCAAGCCCTCGGCAGCATGAGAGGACTACTCGGGCGCTGTGACTCGCGAAGGGACTACTAAGGGCTAGCTTGGCCCTGCTGCTTACCACGATAAAAAAAACGGTTGCACCGAGACTACTGCATCGATGCTGTAGGAACTGCGCCCTCAAGCGAAGGAAGAGTCTCCAGCATACTGCATCACTTCTCCGTAATGGAAGGGGCACGTGGCGCGCGCCCTCAAGGTAAGAAACGATTCCCAGCGCCTCTTCCACCACCGCCACCACTAGAAGAATTTCCTCTTGCCTGGCCATGCGAAGAGGGCGGTTGCACACGCCGAACAGGGAGACAAAATTCGAGGGCATGGCCCGCATGGGCCTCGCCGGCTAAAAGGGTCAGCAATTCGCGACCAGCACGCTAATTATGTTCAAGCCACTGTTGGAAAGGAAGGGGGGGAAAGAAGAAGCAGGACACGCGGGGCGGGGAGGGTCTGGTCGGCCTGGAGCCTGGAGTCACTGTCACAGGCTGAACGTACACGACGGAGGGACCAGTACCCTGCCCCACCTGCTCATGAATACCTGGGCGTCCTCTGGGATCTGAGCCTGAAGTGCGGAGAAACTGTCCTTCGTCGAGGCCACCACGATCTCCTTGGAGCTGGTGCGGGAGCCGAACCGCATGCCGTCTGTGGCACACTGGAAGAGCAAGGCCTGGCGTGGGTCCGTGAACGTCACAAAGACGAGGCCTTTGTTCCGCTTGTCAGTCGCCTTCATCGGCATGAAGAGGCGGTCGAAGTGCCCCTGGAATCCCGAGTCGTGGATGAGCTCGAGGACGTCTCCGATGGTACACCGGCACGGGACGTTCAGCAGCGTGAGGTTCACCGTGCTGGCGCCCCCGTGGGGCTTCGCCTGGAGGTCGTCGCTCGAGGAGGGCGGGTCTTCCGGCACCGCGGCCTCGCCGCGGACCGCGCCCCACTTGCACGCGAGGTCCAGCGCGGCCATGGCTTTCGCGCAACGGCGCGGGCGAGTCGGCCCCCGTCGGGGCTTCTCAACGGGCAAGCCACGCGGCCGACAGTGCGAGCGGCGCCAGGAGGGGCGATGCGCGGCTTGAGCCAGAATGGTTCTGGAACCCCTGTTCCGGATGCTTAATTTAGGGGGGGGTGCGCGCTCGGCGAGAGGCGAGCGGGCGGGCGGCGTCGAGGTTGAAAACACAGCAGGCGCATACGATACGACATCTTGCGAAGAAGCAATCTTGCTTCTTAGGGCGCACCATTCGTCGATCTCTGAAGGGCACTTCAACGTGGATTCATGCATGGCGGCGCAAGGCGCGTTCTCAATAGCCCGCGAGCGCGCGCGCAGGCAATGCCAAACATCCGTTTCACCTGACTGGCGACAACCATCTGTTTCACGGCCCATACCTGCGTTTATGCATTGTGCCACCATGCGCTTGTCTGGTTGCTCGTGCGCGCGCGTGCTCTTGCGTGCGCGACGCAAAAGTTGCCATTCTTACTCTGCAAGCTGAAAATCAAATGTTTAACTCGTATTTTGGGCGGCCTCAACGTGGAATGGTGCCCACGACGGCCCCCGCGCGCCTGCGCTCGCTCTCGCGTGCGCGGAAAACGAGAACAAATAAAGAATGGCCATCTTGATCCCGAGAACTGAATGGTGAAAAACGACAGGTTCATTCGTATTCTGGTGGCCCCAACGTGGAATAATGCATCGTGACGCCGCGCATTTCCTCATTGCCCGCGTGCGTTCGCTCTCGCGTGCGAAATTCAAAAACAAGTGAGGAATGGACATCGTAAGTTCGAAAACTGAATGGTGAACGCCGGCTGTCCCACGCATATTCTGAGGGCCTCAACGTGGAATGATGTATTGTGGCACTGTGCGTCGTCCTCATTGCCCGCGCGCGCGCCCGCTCTCGCGCTGTCTACGCCGAGGCCACCAACATACGAGTGACACAATGAGTGTAAACCCTGTAGCTTTCGATATATATATATATATAGGGAAATTATTCATTGGTTCTTGTATTGCGCACGCGGGAGCGTGCGCGCGCGAGTGTGCACGCGCGCGCGGGCAATGAAGACAATGCGCAGCGTCACTATACATTAATCCACTCTGAGGCCCTCAAAATACGAATGCAACACTTGGTTTGCAACATTTCAGAATTCAGGTGACCAGTCTGTATGTGTTTTTACTGCGCACGCGACAACGAGCGCAGGAGCGCGTGCGCGCGCGGGCAATGAGGAACAACGCTCAGTGTCACAATACAAATGTCACGCTGAGGCCACCCAGAAGACGAGTGAAACATTCGGTGCTCACTGTGCAGATTTCGAATTATCGGTGGTAATTCTTTGCTGATTTTGCACTGCGCACGCGAGGGAACGCGCGCGCAATGAGCAAGGAGGAACGCGCACGGCGTTCACAACAGGGTCTTCCACGCTGGGCCCTCGGGACACGGATGGGCTTCTGGTGTGCACCGTTCCATTTTCAAGATAAAGGCGGTTCGTCGATTCGTGTTGCAAATTGTTCCTCCTCCTCCTCCTCCTCCTCCTCCTCCCCTCCTCCCCCCCTCCTCCTCCTCCTCCTCCTCCTCCTCCTCCTCCTCCTCCTCCTCCTCCTCCTCCTCCTCCCCCTCCTCCCCCTCCTCCTCCCGGGGAGAATTTGTGTCGGTAGTCGAATAATTTGCATTGCGCACGCGAAAGCGGGCGCACGCGCGCGCGCGAGGGCAAAGAGATCAACACGCAGTATCACAATACATCGTTCCACGTTGGTGCCCGTCAGAATACGAGTCAAACAATTGGTGTTCAGCACTCACGTTTCGATGTTAAGATGACCATTGCTAATTGGTCGGGCTGCGCGCGCGAGCAATGAGGAAGGTGCATGGTGGCACCTTACACGGTTCCACGTTGAAACCTTCAGATCCAGAATCAAAAACCTTTGCGTTTGAGCAACTCGCGTTCAAAGGTCAAGATGGCCATTCTTCATGTGTGTGTAATGCGCACGCGCCCGCACGAACAATCAAAAAAACGCATGGCGTCACGATGCACCGTTTTACTTTGAGACTCACATGCGTATGAAAAAAGGACCCGCCTCCCATCCGTGAAGCCCTCGCACACTTCTCATACAGACGTGCGAGGCGCTCAGGCGAGAGCTACATGTTTGAAAGAGGCCCACCCTCCATGGGTGAAACTGTTGCAGATTGTTTAAGCGAAAGTGCGCAGCGCTAAAGTGACAATCGCATTCTGAACAGAACCTGCCCTCCATCCGTAAAGCTCTCGCACGCTTCTACAACGAATGCGCGCGGCGCTACGGTGAGTGCCACATCCACGAACATGGCACATCCTCCATGCGTGAAGCTGCTGCAACGTTTACAGCAAAAGTGCGCGGCGCTAAATGAATAACCACATTCTGAATAAAAAAGACCAGTCCTTCATCCGTGAACCAGTTGCAAGCTTTGAGAACGACTGCGCACGACGCCGAAACGATTACCACATTTTGAAAACAGCCCGCTCTTCATCCGTAAACCTCTTGAAAACTTTGAAGACGAATGCGCGCGACGCTGAAGCGAGAGCCACACCCGGCAAAAGACACACCCATCCCGACGCTGAAGTAATAATCACACTTCGAAGCCCCGACACTCTGGCAAATATTTGCAACGAACGCGCACGGCACTATAACGAGAACCACATTCTGAACATAACCCAACCTCCATCCGTGAAGCTCCTTCAACATTTTAAGACGAGTGCGCGCGACGCTAAGGCGAGAGCTGCATTCTGAACCAGAACCCGCCCTTCATCCGTGAATATGTTGCGAGTTTTTGAAGCGAGTGGGCGCGACGCTAAATGAGCATCCATCATCAATCCGTGAAGCTCTTGCAACGAACTTGCACGACGCTGGAAAGATAAAGACAGTCTGGAAAAAACAAGACAAAGATCCGCTGTCCATCCGTGAAGTCCCTGGTGAATCTGAAGACGAATGTGCGCGACGTTGTTGCGATAGCCAAATTCTGAGAAGGACCCACCCTCCATCCGTGAAGCTGCTGCAAACTGTCAAGACGAATGTGCCACGGCGCTGTGGCGAGGGCCACATATTCGCTGGAAGGGGGGTGGCAGCACTTCCAGGGGCGGCTGCTATGTAATTTCGCCAGAAATAGGAGGAAAACAAACCTCCCTCGCTTTTGACCACCCTCGCTTCCAAGAGATACCAAACGATGCCAAATTGCAGCCTGTACTGGTCAGGCCGCTTGACGAGGAGGCGCGTGGTATGGCTTGGTTTTGCCTGGAAGCGAAAGCGGGGTAGGTAATTCACGCTCTGAGGAAAACGGGGGATTGACAATTGCTTCCCAAGGCTACCGCCGGAGATCTGGTATTCCAGGCCCCCGGAGTCGTGATTTTTCTCGCAGCGCGGACCCCCAGAGGCCTCGACCCCTTCCCTAGGGCCGCCTTTACGTGCCGAGCCGATTTTCGCCAGCCCCAGGGCCTTGCCAGGGCACCCAGCGGCAGATCATTGTAAAAGACTTCCGTGATGGTCTTTGGACGACGAGAGGATGTCAAGGATCTTATTTTGCCGCCGCACCAAATCTGCAGGGGCGGGAGAAGTGTGGCCGTGGAGGAGAGCGATGGAGGGTGGAACGCTCAGAGCATTAAACAGAACGGGATTCCCTGGGGTCCGACGTCACGCAAAGTTGCAACATCACAGAGAAACTCGGCCAAAACCCTGGACCCCACCTTCCTGCGGCATGTTTCGAGGTGGCTTCATCCGTGAGCGTGCCCGGGCCCAGAGCAAGTCAAAATCGCCCTCTGTGAAAAACAAAAGTTATGTTGCCAATCCAAACGTCCTCCAGAATGATTGTTTCAATCCGCGGCCCCAGGGCTCTTGACCGCTTCCCTGGGGCCAATCTTTGTCCTGGGTCCGTGTTTGGTGTTATCGGGCCCCAGGGGCGGCAACGAGGGGATCACGCCGCGATGAAAGGAAGTCAGATCGCGGAGATCTGGGAAGCTCCCAGGGGCCGCGGGATCTCTGAGGCCCTCAGCTTCTGTGCTCGCCGCTCTCAGACCCCCGACGCCATGCCTTTCCCAGGACGTCGAGCCGCGGAAGTCTCGACCCGTTCTCCCGGACCAGCGTTCCAGCCTGAGTAGGGCTCCCACGGTTCCCAGGCCCCGTGAAAGCCCCGGAGGACGAACATCACGAAAAACCGCCCGGCCGCGATTCTCTCATGACTCGAGGGGGTCTGGGATTCGGGGGCCCTATGGAGCGCATGTTTTAATTGGCGGCCATGCCGGGCGTTATGGGGGGGAGGGGGGTGGGTTCGGGAGGGTGCATGACTTCGCGCCCCCCCTCCCTGGACTGTGGTGCCGGACGCACTGCGGCAGTGCCGGGGACGCACTGAGGCGAGGGGGAGCGTTAGGGGGGGGGGGGCAGGGAGGGGGGGGGGAGGGTAGGAGGCTGCACGCGCGTTATGGCCCAGAATGTCAACAAAACTCTTGTTTGAACCTCCCTCCATCTTTTTGAGCAGGGACCGACCGTCCGGACATTCCTATGGGCCTACCACGGCATGTTCTTCGAACCCACAAATTCTCGAATCATACAAGCACTGCTCGTACAACAGAAGCCCGATGCATTAATATACAAGACAACCTGAGAACAGCTCGTGGCTCTGAGAACAATCATCGGTGGGCCTGTAGGCAAGCCAGGACGCTTCGCCACTGCTTGATCTGTTTTCATGACCCGAGGAGGTCTGCGCTCGCTTCGGCGGCGAGCGAGGGGGGGAAATGAGAAGGAGAAGGCCTTCTCAGAAGGCGGCGGGACTTCTCAGAAGCCCCCGCGCCTTCTGAGAGGCTTTTGGCTGTCTCCGGGGAAGGCTTAGAACACTTCTCAGAAGGCCGTGTGACTTCCGAGCCTTCTGAGAAGGCCTTTTCCTTCTCCTTCCCCACCCCCCTCGCTCGCCGCCGATCGCTGCCTCACAGCTCGCGCCCGGCGGCCGCGACCTCCGCCCGCGCCGGCGCGCTCGGCCTGCCCGGCGAGCGGCCAGCCCGCTCCTGGGCCAGGGGGCTCTCGGATCGGAGAGACGCGCGGGGAGGCTGCGGATGGGCCAATCTTTAGGATGGGGAGAAGGAAAGATGGGGAGGTCCTCCTCCTCCTCCTCCCCCGCCTCCTCCTCCCCTCCCTCCTCCTCTTCTTCCTCCTCCTCCGTCTCCTGCCTATGGTGGTGGTGGCGGAAATCCAGCCCATCGGCTGCTGAAACTTTTTCGGCCGCGGCGCGGCAGAGGCGATCCGCTCGCGCGTTCGAGCAATGCGGGCTACGGCACCGCCAATGCTCCCGCATGTGAGAGGGAGAGGAGAAGAGGAGAGCCGGCCGCAGAGACAGGAGGAGGTGGAGGAAGTCGCACTCACGCGGGCTGCTGAAACAAGACGCGCCCAAGAAGGAACGAAGCCCTGTCTTGTCGCCAACAGCGCCTGGGTGCATGAGGAGGGCTAGAGGACCAACCACGGAATGACCTAAGGAATGGCGAATACCCTCCGAACCCAAGTCGGCTTTTGTTTCAACGTCTTGACTGCAAAACTCGGGTTCGGGAGACCCGGGTTGGCCTGACGGGGCATGCAAGATAATGACGTGACCCAGCCTGAAACTTGACACGAGCTCCCGCTGCAACCATCCTCTGAAAGCTCGACCGTCAACCTAAAACGAAACCAGGACAATGATAAACTCGAGTAAGGACAATAAATCGAGAATCTCCGAGACCTGGCGGCTCTGGAGGATGTCTGGGGCGCCGCAACCTTCTCAGAGCGTTCCAGAACGTTCTGAGAGAGCTCCGGAACGGTCTGGAACGCATATCTTCTCGTCCTTGCCCCGCCCGTCACAATCCAGGACTGGCACTTCAAGAACCGTCGGCAGACCCGAGCTCCAGACTCGTCCTACACGTCGTTCATTCCTAATCGTGCTCATTTCTAACTGTGCTCGTTTCTAATTGTTCCTGGCCCCCTACCGGCCAGGAAGAGGCCCAGGACAGAACAACTAGAAATGAAAGGATCTTGGCCCCCCAAAAATCAAAGAACTATCGAAGAATTTGGCATGAACAATGTGTATATTCTCGTCCTTGCCCCGCCCGTCACGATCCAGGACGGGCACGTCAAGAACCGCCGGCAGACCCGAGCGCTCGAGACTCGTTCTGCGCTCTCCCGATCGGAGACGGGCCTAACCCGAGACACGGAGCCCTCCACGGGGGGGGGAGGGAGGCACCTGGCCTCCTAGCATCTGCATTGCTCGAGTAGGGGATCGACGACACAATTGATGCACCTCAGAATTGATGTATTCGTCCAGTCTACGAAACATGCGTAGGATGCTCTGTAGAACGCTCTACGGTTTCCTTCGCAGAGTCGACGGAAATCATTTCTGGGGTAAATCAATTCTGTAGTCGATCCCCTACTCGAACTGCGGAGGGGCAACGACTGGGGGGGGCTGGCCTATGGGGGGTGCATCGACTTCGAATCGGCGATACATCGCCGATAGATCGGCGATGGGCCTCCGATGGTGAATCCGCACCCCCCTGGGCAGGTTGGGGCCATCGGGCCCCCATCGGCAATGAAGGGGCGGTTGGGGCGACCGATGAGATCGGACGCTAACGATTTCGCTTCACGTTCTGGCAGATCGGTCGCGACCAAGTTGTTCCAAAATCGGTTGCGATCGATCGGTCGCGTCCGACCGGTCGCTACCGATCGCGACCGAACAACATCCAGTATCCAATATGTTGAGCGCGGCGGGCCCCAGAAATAGGGGAACAAGAAGTGGCATAAACATGACAACTCACTCATTTAGGCATAAACATGTCTATGCCACTTTTTGTTCCCCCAGGAAATGCTGCATCTCATCGGAACCTTCTCTCGGGAGGGCAGCTCCTACTTCCGCCGGCTTCAGCCGGCGGAGCCATCCTGGCGCTGCCTGCGCCGTTGGTCCGCGGGCCGTCTGCCGCCTTCCTTTTTTTTTACACCCACTGCGGCTTCCAAGGTCGATTGCGTGCCCGTCTAGTGCGGGCTGGCATGGCATGTTAGAACATGCGGCCTGGCATGGCATGTTAGAACATGCCTGCCGCCTTCCACCGGGAAAAGAGGCGCCAACTCCTTCGGCCCTCGAAGGCGGGGCCCCCTCTGGAACGCCTCGCGGGGCCCCAGAGACAGGAAGTGAGATCCCAGGCGCCATCTGCAGTGTCTCAGGCCCCTCGTCCCCACGGAGCCCCATCGCTCAGGGCCACAGGAGTGGAGACACCAGGCCCCATCTGCACTGTTTGCAGACACTCGCCCCTGTAGGTCAGCAGGCGACTGCTGGGAGGCCCTCGCAACAACGACGAAGCACAAAGAAACCCGATGGAGGGGCTGCTGTATAAGCCGGATTAGGCCTGGTTGAGCTGGGGGCTCCACTGGACTAAGCCGGATGGACTGGGTCTACGCCAAATTTTCGGCCAGTTTTCGACCACGGATGTGCCAGCTCCGGTACTGAATTTAGCCTGAAGATGAGGTGGGGCATACCCTCCTACAGGCGGGCCTTGAAATAAGATGACAAATGTCGTACGATCATAAGAGCACGAAAAAACGTCAACATACTATTCCTCTACTATTCTTGAATATTCTTCCAGTGGAGGGACATGCCCGACTAAACCTTAAGAGTGAGATCCCCAGCTAAACTTATCCGCACTCTGAGGCCCCTCGTCCGCACAGGGCCCCACCCCTCCCGGGATCCCCCTGCCTCTGGGCCCCGAGGGCTCCTGGCCCCAGTGCTCCCGCGGCAGCAGGTAGGCCGGCAGGTACCCCGGAGGGGCGCTGCAGCCACGGCCGCTTCGCTGGGGGAGCGGGGGGGAGGAAGCGCTTGGCTGGGGAGACATGAGACTCGGGTTCGGGGGACTCGGGCGGGCCTGACGGGGCCATCAAGAGAATGGCGCGACCCACTCTGAAACTTGACGCGAGCGCCCGCCGCAGACATCCTACGAAGACTGGACTCTCAAAATCCAGGACGCGCTCGTCAAGCTGCGTCGGCAAGCCCGAGCTCCGGCGTACGAGTCTCACGTTTCCCCGATTTGGAGCAGAAGGTTGACATCGGCAGCAAGAGGCGCAAGGCCCTTCATGCTGAGACGCTGTTAGGTGGCAGCGTCTGGGATTGTGGGAGGTCTTCGTATCGAACTGCGCCAGATCATTCATCCCGAGTAGATCGGGCCATCAAGCCCGATGGGCCAAGATTAAAACTGGGATTTAGCTGGACCGCCACATTAAGAATATGGTGCATCTTCGGAGGGCCTTGTCTTTCCCATCGCGCCCCTATCCGCGTCGAATCCGTGTCGAATCCATGCAGGACTCGTCGCATCCGCGTCGAATCCGCGTCGAATCTGTGTCGAATCCACGCCCAAACCGCGCCGAGTCCGCATCGAGCCCGCGTCGGGCACAAGATAAGACACCCGTTCTGGGGATAGGCGAGCCCCCCCGAAGATGCAACGTAATATCTTAGGCCATCAAGCCGGACGAGCCAAGATCGAACCTGGGATGCAGCTGGACCGTTGGCTTCGGCGGGAGTCGACGGGACTAAGCGGAATCAGGCGGGATGATGCCCGATTGGGCAGGTTTGAAGGGGCCCTGGGACACACAAATAAATGCACACAAATAAAAATATTCCCGTATTTTCCTATATTTTCTGGTTTTTTGTCTTCCCCCCCACTTCCCATATTTTCCCATATTTTCGGGGGAATCGACGATTCATCGTGTCTGTGTGTTTCTTTCCCTCCTGAAGGTTGCCATCCTCTGGAAGGCCCAGGCGGCCTCGAGAAGAGACAGCCAAGCAAAAAGACACCTCAGAGCGAGGAGCGGGCCCCGGGGAAGGGGTCCAGACCTCATGGGGGCCCAGGCTGTGAGGAGGCCGTACGCGAACCCTGCCCCACCACCCCACGATTTCTAAGGGGGGGGGGGTAGGGTTCGCATGTGGCCTCCTAGCCATGAAAAAAACATCACGACGTCGGAGGTCTGAGCCTGTATGTGCATCCAGAGACATCCAGACGAAGCTCAGGATGAGGAGGGGGAGGTGGAAGTCCAAGAAGACCGGGGGGCCAGGAACAGAGAGGCTGCGAAGCGACTGTGGCGCTAGAGTTGGACCGCAAGAAGGGGTTAGGGAACGTGTCGCCGACGCTGCCTATCGAGGTGTAGCCGAAGTCGTACAGCGAGCAGTAAGGCAGCTCGAAGCCCCGGAGGAAAGACCAAACCTGCCCGTAGTCCCACCGCAAGATCGGGTTCACCCGCATGCCCGGCGGCATCCACTCGCTCGTCGGAGAGAACGTCTCGAGGTCCGACCCATGTGGGTCTCCCTCGCGAGTGCCCATGACCCATGCGAGGGGCAGCCCTTCTGGGGACACCATAAAGATACCGATGCCGCAGACCCTCGGGGCCTCTCCCAAGGTGCATTCTACCAAGATTTCGTGGCGAATCCAGCCGTGAGGACGAGGGCCTCCCAAGATGCCCCAGCCGGCGAAGACGAGGGAGGGGTCCCAGACATCCGATGAGATGTTCATTTTTCAATGCAGAGATCCCGATCACTCCCCCTGGGCCAGCTTTCGTCCCAGATCGATGCTTCATGGCCCCCAGGCCCGATGACGAGCCCCAGAGGTCGACGTCGAGGAAGAATGCCCAGATTGACAAGCAACCTGTCGTCGGAGGTCTGGAGCAGCAGTATCGGCACCTCTTCCTCCCCCGACCTTCGGCCTCGGCAGCGCTGGACCCCGCGGCGGCCGTCGCCGACGCCGACCGCGCGAGCGCGTGGTCCCGCACGCAGTCAGCCAGGCCTGGGAACAAGGCAACGCGACACCACCACCACCGGCGGGAGGAGCCGGGGGGTGTGGTGCGCCCCCCCTCGCTCGAGGCGCCCCCCACCCCCAGCTCGGGCAGGCATCGGGGACCTCCTCGCGCGGAAGCTGGCAACCCCTGGTGGTGGTGGCGTTGCCTCTCCGAAGGCCCGCGATGAGCCCGCCCTCGAGCGTGACCGCCTGCAGCTCGTACCGGGCCACCGTGTGGCGGATCAGCTCCTGCACCTCTGGCGACCCAGGCCCCGCCGCGTCGTGAAAGAATCGCGACGACAAGCTCCGGAATCTATGTTTCCTGGCCGCGAGGGCCCCCGGGACCAGCACGCACGACTCGGGGCCAGTACCGATACGGCCACACGCTGGGGCTCTCGTGTTCGCCCTCTCGGGCCTCCTGGGGCCCTGAGATCCTGGCATCACATTTCTTCACATCGGGCGCATTTCGCCCTGCCTCGGGCCCCGGCGCCCACCCGGATCGCTCTGGCTCGAGAACTGCCTCAGACACCTTGGGCCATGGGGGCTCTGGCCGAGTCTTGTTCGCCAGGGTGCCATTTTTGTTGGACAACGGATCTACATCAAGGTATGCCCATCGGTCCGAAGAAGCAGGTAGAAACATGAAGTAGGAAGGCGTTGAAAAAAGATCAAGTTCCGTTCGCCCCCTTGGGAGGACGGAAAAGATGAAGCCTCTCGATCATTGAAGTAGGAAGGCGCTCAAAGTAGATTGGAACCTGGGAATCCAGAAATACCTACTTTCAACGACCGATGGGTACGCCTTCTGGGACGGGATCCAAAATGGATGCGCGGCCTCACGGGTGTGTGTGCGCGGATAGAACCTGTCGACGCTGGATGTGCTCGCGCTTCGGCGAGGGAGCACGAGGTTTTCGGGACCCCCCCTAAAAGCTTACGGGGCTCCAGATCTGGCCGAGACCTGCGCTGCGCACTTCTCCACCGCAACGCCGACCGCGGCAGCTCCAACGTGAACAAAGTCGACGCGGAGCACGAGGATACGCGGTAAGGGTGCAGGGGCCTTGGAGGCCCGTGTGAACGTTCTTCGAACGACAAGGTTGAACGAAAGCCGCTGAGGATAAGCCAGAGGGGCAAAAATGCAAGGGTTTCCTGGGGAAGGTTGCCCATCCTCTCTATGCGGGTTGACTGTAAACTCGACCGACTTTTCGGAACCGAAGGGGCAAGGAAGCAAGGGTTCCCTTGGTAGGGCTGCCGGCTGCCCATCCTTAATGTATGCGGGTTGACTGTAAACTTGACCGACATTTCGGCTGGCGCCCATATGCTTCCCGCCCGCGAACCTCGCCGAAGTCGTCCTGGACTGCCAGGACCAGCACCCGCGGCCGCATCATCGGCGTCCCCCGCTCCTGGAAGTGCCTCAGAAGGGCACCAAACCCAGACCCCCTGGCGTCGTGAACTCAACGCAACACAAATCATTGCTGAACATGTTTCGGCCTCCAGGGGCCCTCACTGGGCCCTGGGACCATCAGAAAAACGCCCAGGATGAATCACCAGTCCTGGGGACTGGGTCGAGACCTCCAGGGGGTCCACGTTGTGAGATTGCCATCGTGGGCCTGGGAATATACAGGTGCACCGGTCCTCGATCCTGGCCGGGCCCCTCCTTGGCCCAAATCGACCTGGCCAGGCTCGGTGCGGGCCGGGTGTGCATCCCCACACCCGAAAACGTGGGCCACCAGACGTTTGGACGGCTTCCCATGGGACCTGCTCTTCATTTTGAATTGCTTGTCGGTCAGGGGCCCCGCGAGGGCCCCCAGGGGCAGAAGATTGCCCCCAAACCCTCCGTGATGATTTTTGCACGACGCGACAGGGTCTGGGTCAGACGCAGTCCCAGAGCCTGGCCAGGGCGGCCCTGTACAGGTGCAGCGCTGCCACCGCGTCCTTGCCGCCGTTGAAGGCTGCGAAGACCTGGCCGTGCCCGAACAGCCGCAGCGCTGCCTCCACGGCGCCGAGCCCCCGCGTGAGGGCGGGCGACAGGTCGGGTTCCACGGTCCGTGGGCCACCACTGGCCAGCCACGACTGGGGGAGATGGGTCTGTGTTCTACAAAGGGGCCAGGACGAGGATAACATAGGGTAAAGATAAATCGAGAACCTCTGAGTTCCCGCGGATCTGGAGGATTTCTCGGGCGCCGCGGCCTTCTCCGAGCGTTTCGGAACCCTCTGAGAGCGTTCTGGAACGCACTAAAAGAGACGTATCCTCGTCCTAGCCCCGCCCGATGTTCTTCTCCCGATGAGATTCAAGCGTAGCATTTTTTCACGACGGGCGGATGTTGCCCTGTCTCGGTTCCTGGGCCTCACGGATCGACTCCGCACGAAGGAACGCACCGGGAAGATGGGACCCAGGACTCTGGTCGAGTGTCTCAGTTTTCACGTTGCAGTTTTTTCGCGAAGACGGACCTCGAGGCCCCCCTGGGGGAACCCATTGTTCAGATGCGCGCCAGCACGGACCACGAACCCGCCGTCCCGGCACGTGGGCGCCGTGCAGGCCCATGGCTCGAGGGCCCGAGACGTGAGGCCACTGCCGCCCGATTTGGCGACGGAGCGCGCCAATGCCTCACGGAGGCGGGGCCCGTCGTGGATCCGCACGCCTCTCTATTGCGCTGCCTCGAGTCGCGTCGACGACCCTCACGAGAGGGGCGTCAACTCCGAGGGGCCCCCCAATGGAGGGGAGGGGCGGAGGACCACAGATCCACCAGCCGTGGCTGGCGTGCACCAGGGCCAGACGCGGGGGGCAGCAACAATCAGAGGGCCAGCGGAGGCCCGAGAGATCGGCGGTCCAGAGGGGCTGGGCCCCGCACATCCTGCCAATGCCTTGACCCCTTCCCCGAGGCCGGCTCTTCGTCCTCAGCCGTTCCTCGGAGGCCCTTGGGCCCGCAGTGGCACCCGAAGGCCGCACTCAGCGATATACATGTGTATATATATATAGATATAGATATAGATATAGATATAAGAGAGAGCGTGATCCACCGCCGCTTTACTGTGGAAAATTGCCAACCTTTTCCTCCGGAACCCGGGGGTCTCCCCCCCCCCCCCTCCGAAAATCCCCCCCCCCCCCCTCCCCCCCCCCCCCCCCCCTCTCCCCCGGCAAAACCCCCCCCCTCCCCTAACCCCCCCCCCCCCCCCCCCCCCCGCTCGAAAACCGAGGGGGGTCACTACCGGTTCGAACCCCTCCCCCCCCCCCCCCCCCCCCCTCCGGATCCGGAAAACCGGGGGGGGTCACTACCGGTTCGAACCCCCCCCCCCCCCCCCCCTACTCACCGCCAGCAAACGACTCCCGGTCCCCACCACCGTCCGCATCACATCCCCCACTGGTGTTCCCAGCACCACTGTCCTCACCACCGCTGTCCCCACTGGTTCCACCACCGCCCCTACTGTCCCCACCAGTGGCCCCACCACTGTCGCACTGTCCCCGCTGTCCCCAGAACTGTTCCCACCACGGTTCCACTCTCCCCACTGTCTCCACGGCCCCAACCACTGCCCGACTATCCCCACTGTCCCCACTGTCCCACTGACTCCTCCGCTGTCCCACTGAGCTGTCCCACTGTTCCCACTGTGTCCCACCACTGTCCCCACTGTACCTCTGTCCCATTGTCCCACTGTCCCCACCACCTCTGTCCCATTGTCCCACCACTGTCCCTGTATTGTCCCACCGCCGTCCTCGCCACCGCCTTCACCACTGTCCCCACCACCATTGTACCCTCCACTGTCCCACTGTTTCCACCTCGTTCCCATTGTCCCCACACCACTGTCCCCACCACCACCGTCACCACCACTGTCCACTGTCCCCCCCTGTTCCCACCATTGTCCCCACCACTGTCCCCACCACTACCGTCCCCACCGCTGTCCCACTGTCCCACTGTCCCCACCACTGTCCCGCTATCCCCTCACCACTGTCCCCACCACTACCGTCCCCACCACTGTCCCACTGTCCCCCCACTGTCCCCACCACTGTCCCGCTGTCCCCTCACCACTGTCCCCACCAACACCGTCCCCACCACTGTCCGCACCCCCACTCGGTTTTCGAGGGGGGGGGGGGGGGGGGTTCGAACCGGTAGTGACCCCCCCCCCTTTTCATGATGAGCAGGGGGGGGGGGGGGGGGGGGGGGGGGGGAGGGGGGGTTCGAACCGGTAGTGACCCCCCCCGGTTTTCCGGAGGGGGGGGGGGGGGGGGAGGGGTTCGAACCGGTAGTGACCACCCCCGGTTTTCCGCCAGCAGCGGTAGAAGACGCTCTTTCAGATATAAAAAACACTCCACACACATACACTCCAACTTGATGTCTACACCCAAGGCAGTTCAGGGGTCGGGTGGCCTTCGGCCCCCTCTGCCCTCAGCCCTCAGGGTGGCCCCAAGACCGTGCGGCTAGGTCGGAGGAGCCCCGCAGGCGCGCGTGCAGTTCCGCGGCCTCTCGGCTGCACGGCGCGCAAGAGCGACACCCGGGGCCAGAGTGGCATCTGGTGCACGGCTTCGTGGGGCCCCGGAGGGGCAAGTCCAAGCGCGCAGGGAATTACAGTCAAGCCGTGTAGGAAGGATGCACGATGAGGATGCAAGGGTCCTGGACGCCCATTTCGAGGCGTCTCGAGCGGGGCGCGGCCAACGAAAGTGGCCAAGGCTGGACCGAGGAGGCAAAGATGCAAAAGTACCCTTGGAAAGGTTGCCTATCCTTCCTGTGCGGGTTGACTGTAGCCCCGCCTCCTGCCACGAGAGCCTGGTGCCACTGTGCGACCCGTGAGCTCTGCCTGCGTTATGTTTCTCCCATCGTTCTTTTGGACCACACCCCAGAAAAATAATTCCGAGCGCCCCCCAAAAGTGTCGAAACAGTGTCGAACGAGTATCGCCTCCCAGGGCCCGACACGTGAAAAGCCTCCAGTTTGGGTGCTTCCTTGGTGCTCGAAATGATTTCTGGTGGTCAGGCTAAGGCAGGTTATAACATCACAGTGGTTGCGGATCATGCAGGGCAGGGCGGCACCGACGGCGGCCAGGAGAGCAGCATCCATCAGTGGAGTTACAGAGGCGACTCCTGACGCACTCCCACTCCAGCATCGGGGTGCTGCGAACACCGTCCACCACGGGGCCCCTGTCTGGGGGAACCGAAAGACACTGATAATGCAACTCCCGGGAGCCCTGGGAGGCGAATCCAACCATGGCGACGATGGCCTCCCCAGAGACTCCAAAAAGGCAACAAAGAAGACCAGAGTAGCGGTGTAGGTACCTCTGCCTCCTCTGGCTGTCGGCCGCACCAGGGTGCACTCTGGCGAAGGGCCACTCTTGCCCCCAGACCTGACGTTGCCGAAAAAAATAAACGGAGCTCCCATTCTGCGTCATTTCTCGTGACAGAGTGATCCGTGAGTCCTGGGGCCAGAAACTGGGCGACAAAGCCCACCGTGAACAAAATGCAACGCCGCAATCAGACGAGGCCAGGATGAGGACGAGTCCAGGTGAGGGATGCATCGAGCACCTCTGAGACCCAGTGGCTCTGCAGGGCGCATGGGGCGCCGCGGCCTTCTCACAACGCTCTGGAACGCCCTGGAACGGATTCATCCTCCTCCTGGCCCGTCTGGCGCCAGGACCTCGGTGAGGGGCAACGATTGGGGGGGACTGGCAGAGGGGGGGAATGTATCGACCTGGAATCGGCGATGCATCGCCGATGGATCGGCGATGGGCCCCCGATGGTGAATCCGCACCTTCCTGTGCAAGCTGGGGCTATCGGGCACCTCTCGGCGAGCATTGGGCGATTGGGGGTCGATGCGTCTCCCCCCCCGTGCCCGCCCCCCCGGCCGCTGCCCCCGACCCGGGGCGCGCGCAGCCCAGGCCTCCGCGGCCGCCGCCGCGCTGGCCGGCGCCGCCGCCGCGCCGCAGCCCGCGCCCGCCGCGCTGGCCGGCAGCCCCGCCGCGGCGCTCGCCAGCAGTGCGAGCGCGCCCAGGCCCGCGCGGCGGCGGTGGGTGGCAGGCGCGGGCCGCGGCCGCGGGCGGCCACGGCCTTGCCGCCGAGCGCGCATGGCTTCGGCCCCCCCCCAGACCCCGCCCAGGGTCATGAGCAGAGCCGCGTCGAGAGGTCCTTCGCGCGTTGTTCGGCCTCCTGGGGCCCTCGCTGGGGCTCGGGCCCGTCCAGAAGCAAGAGACTCGGGGCGAGAGACCGGTCCCGGGGAAGTGGTCGAAACCTCTGAGGGTCGACGTGATATGAGGAAGTCATGACGCCGGGGGTCTGGGGCTACACGCAAAGAGTGACCCTGGGCAGGAGTGACCTGTGGCGCGGCTCGCCGGTCGTTGCACGCGGTGTGGCAACGACGGTCTGTGCGCTCGGGATCGGCCCTCCCGCTCCCCCCGACAGCCGCGCACCAGAGGTCTGGCGAAGGGTCACTCTGGCGTGTAGCGGGATTGTTGGGGCCGCGCGCGGTGGGGGGCGCCGGCGCCGCGCGGCGGGCGCTTCGTGCGCAGGCCGCCCGCGGCGCAGCCCGCCCGCGGCGGGGCGCCGCCGGCGCTGGCGCCTCGCGGCACGGTGCCTGCTGGCACGGCGGAGGGGGGCGGATCGTCATTGAACTACCCTGCGCTGCGCGGGCGGGTGGGGGGGACGGGGGGGGGGCACCGCTTCGGTCTCCAGCCTTAGTCCCCCGCGCGCACAGCGGATCGTCGTCTTGCCCGTCCTCTGGGCGCCTTCCCCAGCGCGCCCCGATGGGTCGTCGGGCCTGGGCTCAGGCCACTGCGCGCCGTTCGTGAACGGGGTGGCAGCGGGGGGGTGGGGAAGGAGGAGAAGGAGGAGGAGGAGGAGGAGGAGGACAAGGAGGAGGAGAAGAGGGCGCGACTCATGACACAGTGGGCATGTGCTGAAACACACAAAAAAAGGTCCTGGCGCTGTGGGCCGCGGGCTGGGCACACCATCACGGAGAGATGGGTCAGCAGCCGCGTGGAGGAGGGAGGAGGTCCCGGGGCACGACTCCGAAGCGGCGGATGTGGGAGATATTAAGGAAGCGAAGGGGCGATGGACACGAGGAGCAGGAGGTCCGGACCAATGTGCAACACGTCTCGTGGGCGGCCGAGCGAAGGATGCCGACAACCAGACTGCGGGGGGATGACGCGCCGGGTCGATCGTGCCGCGGCCGCTTCGACGTGCGAACACGTGGTGAAGCAGCGGTGTGTAACGATCCTGTGCTTCCACACCTCCCCTCCTCCTCCTCCTCCTCCTCCTCCTCCTCCTCCTCTCGTCCTCCTCCTCCTCCTCCTCTCCTCCTCCTCCTCCTTCTCCTCCTCCTCCTCCTCCTCCTCCTCCTCCTCCTCCTCCTCCTCCTCCTCCTCCTCCTCCTCCTCCTCCTCCTCCTCCTCCTCCTCTACTCCTCTCCATCTCGTCCTTCCTCTCCTCCTCCTCCTCCTCCTTCTCCTCCTCCTGCTCCTCCTCCTCGTCCTCCTCCTCCTTCAACCACTCGCATGGGCGTCGAGGAATAATCGACGGCGATCGTTCTCTGGCCCTGCTTCGGGCCCTGGGACCTGTGTCCTTTCATGATCCATCTGGCTTGAAGAAGCATGCTACTGTTGTGTGCCTTCACCAATGGTGGATTCAACAGCGCCGGATCTGGGGGAACCCCATGCGAACCCTACCCCTGTAGGCCAAAAAGTACGGAGCAAAATGAATCAGCGCGGGAGACTTTGGACATGACAGTGCTGATTTCACTCGCAGGATAGGGTTTGCATGTGATGGCAGAATGTCATGATCCTCTTCGATTCATCCGGGTTCTATTCAAAACTCGTAGAACTACGCGCTGCTTTGAATAAAACTCCCGGCTATAGCGAAACAATGTTGAACACAATTTGGACTGGAGGAATCGGGAACCATTGGACTTGAGGAGTTGGGAAACCGGAAACCGCCTGCAGCAAGAAACCACACGAGCAGGTGGGGCAGTTAGTAAACAGGCAGTGATCAGCGACAGGATGACAGGATGGCAGGGCGACGGCGATACCACCATTTCTAGATTGAGCACGGCTCGCCACATGGGCTAACAATCGATGCTCCCAGTTCAAACAGCGGAGACTAGAGTGGGAAATGAGTGTGAGACCACTCGCTGCTGCATTTGCAGAGGAGTCGATCCGAACTCATCCCCGCTTCCCCATGTATCCCTTGCCTCATCCACATTCCCCGCTCCTTCCTCTGTTCCTCCACAGGCTTCCCCCCCCGATCCACCCCCCATTCACCTCCCCCGCCACTGTAAGCGCGCGACCAAGAAGGGCGACGGGTAGCCTTACGCTGCCAGACCGCCATTCGTGCACCCAGTTTGCCAGAGATTTTGGCAGGGTGACCGAATGTGAATGGTGAAGGCCATCACATGGCAGAAAAAGGGGATTCAGAAAGTGCGCGAGGGAGATGAGGACGAAGTGCGCGAAGGCGGAAAGAGAAATGGCAACGCGCAACGTGTTTTACGATACGTGCTCTCATGAATGAACAGCAATTCCTAAACATCCGCATCACCGTCGGAGATCGAATGGCGCTCGAGACACATCCCACGCACTAGCCTGGACAGGACTGTCGCGAACTCATCTGCATGCGTCAACACGGGCCTGCTGTCGCATGGCCTACACATCGTCAGGGGCGAGGGGGAAGGGGGAGGCGGAGGAAGAGGGAAACGAAGCAAGAGGAGGAGAATGAGCAAGCTGATGAGCAGGGGGAGCTGTGGGAGACAATCCTGAGGATGTCTTTGTGGGATCGAGATGGGGTCTAGTAAACCCGATTCGGGGGCCATTCAGCCAGATGTGTCCAGAGTAAGCCCAGGATTAACTAAGCTGGATTGAGCGGGACAACATAAAATTAAGAAGGACTGCGCGGGACTAGAACGGCGTTTGACCATGGATATACTAGCGCCGATGCTGACTTTAGCATGCCAGGAGTTGCACCCTAAGAAGCCGGAGAGGGGGTCGGAGAAACAGGGAGGTCGACGACGGGGAAGGGAAGGAGCAGGGCGGGACAGGAGTTAAGCGCCGCCCCTGCTGTTCGGTTTGCCACAACTGAGACGGCCGCGGCGGTTGGTGAGGGGATAGGGGTGTTAGAAGTGGATACTAAGGGTTGTTATGGCCGGCCTGACCTACCTTATAAGTAGGTTACACGTGCGCTACAGGGTTCAAGGGGGACTAGATAACCCCTCGAAGTGGACGGAGCCCAACTTAGTCCAGATCGTCAGCCTCCTAAACCACTTTGGGCACCTGTAGCCCATTTATAAAGTATATTAGGCCAGATGCAACCACCTTGGCATCTGCTTCTGAGCCCCCTGTCCCCTTAGCGGCCGCCGCGGTCATCTCAGAACGTTAAGGTTCGAGATGTGCCAAGCGGAGGGGGAGGAGGAGGAGGGGGAAGTGGAGGAGGAAAGGGAGGATGGGGGAGAAGGATGAGAAGGGGAAGGAGAGGTAAAATATTGCGCGAGCAGAAAGCGAAGGACAGAGATATGAGGAGAAGAGGGGGAAGCAAGAGGACGACAATGAGCAGGGGGGAGAGATAGAACGGACGACAACGAAGGCAGGCAAGCGGGAAGAGGAGGAGGAGGAGGAGGAGGAGGAGGAGGAGGAGGAGGAGGAGGAGCTGGGCAGGTAGGGGAGGGGAAGCGGGGGAGGAGGGGAGGAGCGGGAGGAGCGCGCCAGGCGGGGCGAGTGCGGATGACGACACGGGGGTCTGCAGGAGTGGAGGGGAGGGAGGGAGGGAGGGAGGGAGGGAGGGAGGGAGGGAGGGAGGAGGAGGTGTAGGAGGAGGGCGAGGAGGAGCAGGGCGAGGAGGAAGAGGAGGAGGAGGAATCATGGATCTCTCCAGCCACCAGGAACCAGGAACCAGGAGGAGGAGGAGGAGGAGGAGGAGGAGGAGGAAGAGGAGGAGGAGGAGGCCGAAAGGCAGGCCGGGGGCCGCCCGCGCGGCTCGAGAGGGCCCGGGCCTCACCGCCGGCTGGCCCGCGGCCCGCTGACGAGCAGGTCCTCCAGGAGGTCCTGTAGGCGGCGCCACTCGAATCGCCCGACAGCCATCGCTTCTCTCCTGGATCGATGGGAGGCGGGGGCATCGGGCTGGGCGAAAGGGGGAGATGGCAAAGGGGGGGGGGAGAATCAGCTCGCGTAGCTGATTTGCCCAGCGCCTCCCGGCGCCGGGAGGCGCCCATGTATCGAGGAACGGGCCTGGCAGCGGAGCGGAAACCAGCTGCATGCAGCAGATTTCGTACCCCCCCCCTTTCCCTTTCCCCCCCTTTCGTTCGGCCCGAGGGTAGGGTTCGGATTTCGCCACGTGTTCGACGAAGTCCGAACCCTCCCCCCGGCCGCCCATGAGTTGCCTGATCGGCGAGCGTAGGGTTCAGATTTCGCCGCCAGTCCTTCTTGTGGATGTCGTCCGTGAGCTTCGCCCAGGCGCCCTGCGGAGGGGGCCACTTTAATTATAGAGCGGGCGTTCCTCCTCTTCGGGGAGGCAACTTCTCTTCTCCCAACTCTCTGGCGATGCGACTTTTTCTCGGTGCCGCCGCTTTTCCTCGAGGCTTGCCTCTGGGGCCATCTGTCCGGCCTCGGGGGCCATCAAAGACAGATTTGGGTCCAAACACCAGCCACGGGGAAATGGTCGGGACCCGCGGATGGAAGAAATCATCTTGGAGGATAGCCGGGCTCTTCCTCCTCCTGCCAAGTCTTGCCCTCGACCCGCGACATTCGAGGGGGGGGGGGGGGGCGTTCGGACGCTCGCGTTTGGTCCGTGTCGGCCCTCCATGACATCCACCTGCTGTTCTGAAGAGAATTAAAACAGAGGGTCCCTGCAAATTTGCCAACGCGTCCCACCGGATGCACGGCCGAGCGAGCGAGCGAGTCCCTGCAAATTGTCAGCATCTGGGGGCTCTCCGAGAGCCCCGCATGGGACTGTCAA